TGAGCGCCACGGGTGTTGGTAATCACTTAATGGAGGCTGTGGCAGGAAGGAACATGAGTTTTGACGAACGGGGAGCTTTCAGTTAAGACAGCACAGGGTCACACATGACATCGCTTCCGCAGGAATGTGAAAAATGTATATAAAATACAAAAAAGTAGACATTTGGTCCTTTTACTGTGGTACCTAGATTAGTAATTTGCGCTTGTATTATTCTATACAACACATACCTTCTCTCATTTTTTAAAAGTCTCGTTTACATGATGATCAAAATTAACCAGTCTCATCAGGAAAGGTCATGTTGGTTTCTAAAAAAAAAAAATAAAAAAAAAAATCAATTTTCACTGGTCAGAACGTCTATGATTGGGGTCAAGTCAGGGGATCTGCACTATTGATTGCAGGTAGCCATGCTCCTTCCTCCGCAGCCAAAATCAGTTAAGGTAAAAAGTGGCAAACAAAGGAGCATTCTTAGCAGACGGCGTCACACACGGTGGCCATTTTTAATCCGGTTGCTTTTCATTGGTCTGCAGCGCTGGTTCCTCGTACTTCACCCTGTTTGCGAAGCTGTGGGGAAAAGGAAAGAGACGCAGGAAAAGAGGTTAGATGTACATGAAACCGGCGAGGAACTGAAATCTCCGCAGAGCGCGATGAGGTGGCACTGGGTGGCTTTTTGCAATCAAGGTGTACGAAGTTTTCTAAACTATCGAAGCAACAGGAAAGGAAGGATTTTCTCCTGGTTCGGCTGTGACTGGAAATCAGCAGCTCAAATACAGAACAAACAAGAACAGGTTAATCACAGGGCTGCTACTGTGACAGTTTTCTTGGTAATCAATTTTTCTATCGATTACACATACGATAAATTAACTGGATAAAAAAAAATGCCACATTCGACAGGGGTTTTCATTTTACAATCACTAATACTTCTAACGTGTGAAAAGCTCTGCCCCCTTCTATTTGATCTATCATTACAGCTGAAATGTTGATTGTTTTTTTCTACTAACCAATTTTTAATTAGACAGCAAAGGGTCTTAATAGGTTTTATTTTATTTTTTGCAAAGTTTGAACCAGCAGAAGCTAAAACTATGCCACTTGAGTTTTTGGTGGAATATATTTACAGACAAATTTTTTTTTTATTATTATCTTAAATGCAAAATGTATTATATTTTTGAACAATATCTTTCAGCAAAGGTCCTTTTTTTAAATCTGTATTCTACGGTTAATGATTAATAAACTACTAAATTAGTTGATTCATCACGATTAAAACAATTAATCATTTCAGCCCTAGTTAAACGAATCAAAAACTTAGTGCACTTGGTTGTTTTAATAATAAGTATCAAATAAAAGGTCAGACACAATATGCATTGAAGAATTAATTGGTATAATCTCTACCTACGCCCCAGCCTACTGATGAAAGTTTCAAGGTAGACTTGTTTTTAATTCATTACATACATCTACAGGTTTTAATACGTTCTACAAAAACCAATAAAATGCAACAAATTGCTTTCTGTGAGCTGAAACTTGGCCTTCTTTAACACTGCGCTCCAACAATACTTATCAATCCTCCTGTTTGTCTTCAAGGTAGATAAAAGCATCCCTTTCAAATGCTCCCACCTCCAGGCTGATGGCTTTGGAAAGTCAATTAGTGTTGGAATCTGATAGCCCAAAAGCTCAAATGAAATGGTTCAAACTAACATTGGCTCTAAACAGGGGAAAAGACAGATCTGATGAAATAGCAGGAGGATTTACCCTCCCATTTCGCCATCTTTTTTCCCCTCGCTTCCTCCGAGTCTCTCAATCACAGGCCGGACTCCTTCTCAACAGCAGAATTCTATTTGTATGTTAATGAGGAAAAAAGGGAGCCACCTCGAAGCATCGCACCTCGTCCCCCGCTCTCAAGCCGCCCCATTCTGCGCCGACTGCGCCGCACCAAGAGCATCTCTTCTGCATTGTCTCTCAGATGCAGCCTCTGTCATGGCGATATTGTTAAAGTGCAGCGCCTGGCTTCGCCGTCGCACATCATCCAGCGCAGTTCAAGTGCGACCCTGCTAACCCTGGAGCTCAGAGGCTCAGGACGGGACTGGCCCTCCTCACCACAGCCCTCTTTGATGGCACCCGCCTGTTTACTTGCTCCAGTGGAAAATGGGAAACACATGGCGAACTGGCCGACATGTTCTGAAGGAGTGGGGGGGCCGGGGTGGGAGTGCGGAGGCAAAGCACAAAATGCAGCATGTTGGTAGTAGGCCAGGAATGTTTGAAACTGGCCCACTTTGGCCAGTCTAGTCCAGATTCCTCACTTGTTCTCCTTGTAAGGCCAAAAGCTCCCAAAGTGATATTTGGGAGCAAACCAGCAGCAAAGGTTGAAAAGACGGTGAGCTACAACCTGTTGCAGATTATGTTAAAAACCTATGTTCACGTCTGAGCTGTACTCTCTTTGTTTGGATGCTCACAGCTGTAGCTTCTGACGCAACACGTCAGCTGGTTTTGAAAAAAAAAATAAATAAAAAAATAAAAAGGCATAAAAAATTGAGAAACGTCAAAAGGAGCCCAAGACTCCATCGGGGTAATGTTGAGACTATTCTAAATAGCAGAAGACTCTAGACTAAAACAAGGTTATGATAATGTTGTCTGGGGGTTTCATCTGAAATGACAAAAAATATTTTATAAAAAAGCATTGTAGATGACTTTAAAGTGACATACAAATGACAAACAAAGATTTAAAAACACCGAGCAACACCCAGGACAGCCAGTTCCAGAGCAGCTAGCTCCTGTCACAGAGGCTGCAGTGCATCAACAGTTTGTACACCACGGTTTGAAGAAGCTAGCCCAGTGGAAAAACCCATTAAGAGACTTCCCTGCACCCAAAACAACTTACACAGCAACGCACAGACCTAAACCTGGCCTGCTACTCCTCTGAACCCTTTGTACCTGCTGAACCCTTGTTATGCATCTGGATGGAAATAAAGGAGAGTAAATCATAAGATGAAGTAATTAAGGACTCCACGAGATACGCTGAGAAGACTATATTCAAATAAAGTTATTTTTTTAGTTATGGTAGCATGTCACAAAGCAACTGTTGTCTTACATAACCTTTTAAAGGCACACTGAGGAGTTTTTCCTGTCTGCAGAGCTTTCCATAATTACTTGCACTTGTTAAAGTTAACATTTCTGCTAAGTATCACCTGATCTAATGTTTTACAGGACTAGAAAGTCAAACTTCAATAGTCTTAATTGCCCATCACCAAATTGTTTTGTCCTTGTTTAGATAGTCAAACCTTTGCCCTCACAAAAAATTTTCTGCAGTGTTGAAAATACTACAAGTAGATCTTCAAAATATACAATATCATGAAAAGTTTCAATACTTTTTTGTCGCTCATTTCAAAAAGTCAAATTTTCTTATACAGAATCAGAGTGAAATGTTCCAATTCCTTATTTTTTAGTCATTTTGACAATGAAAACCCAGAATTCAGAAGACCCGAGAGCAATACAAAAAAAAAAAAAACTTCCAACAGAAATATGAGCCGCTTGAAAATTATATTAATTTCTACCCACTCAATACTTGCGCAGGCCTGCTTTTGCATGATTTACTGCATCAATGCACTTAAATCGTCACCCTGCAGCGATGCAAGTTTAGAAGTTTAAGGTTGAACTTAAACTTTTGCACAATTCATAAAGTTTCTAAGCTGTGCTTGAACAGACCATAAATGATTGTCTTTTACTTGAGTCATCCTCCTATTTTATTGTGATGCCATAAAAGTAACCCATAAAACACAACTTTCCTCACTGATTACACACGCATACCTCTTCGAGCTCCTTTTGAGTCTCGGCCTCCATTCGCCGGATGTCGTCCATGTTCAGGTCCACCCACTTATCAATCCAACAGAAGAGCTGGCGATGGAAGTTCGTGAAGATCCGTTTCTCTTGCTGAAGAATATTAGCAATTAGTAATGTTAATAATAATGATCACAAATGTGCACGCCAACAATGAACGCATCCTTTTGTGTTCTGCCGACATGAATCGCATTTGAGAAAACTTCCCTTTAAAAAAATAAAAAGGAAGAAGAAATGGAAGTCAAACACTACAGTAGCAAACAGGAGAGAACCGTCACACCTCTGCAACTCAGTATGAGCCCAAATGAAGCCCTGCTGTGTGATAAAGTGTGTAAACAACGCAAACCACTAACCTCATGGATGAAGTTCTCCACTTTGGTTTGAAGCCCCCACCACTTAAACTTGACTGTGACTAGTTTGTAGGCACACATCTTTGGGCAGTCAGTTGTACTCGCCAAGTCTTGCTGTTGGGAAAGGATGAGTTAAAAAAAAAAAAAAAGAAGAAAAAAGTCTGGAACCTCTGCTTTTCATAAAGTATCAAAACTACATAAGGCAACAGAAAACTTGACAGAAACTTGTGACAGAATACAGTTTCAGACTCATCTCGGATGACTGCAGAGCTAAAAGCCATTAATACATAATGCTTTGGGTTTGGAGCTTGCTGAAATAATTATCAATATGAAGTTGTGCTGTGCAGAGATAAAAGTGACCTAATCAACACACTTTCTAAATTCATCCATTGCTGCTTGCAACGTGCCTCCCTCTGAAGAAGAGAAGACGAGGAGGAGGGAGGGGGGGAGGTGGGTGGAGGCACAGCAAAGTGGATAAACTCCAGATGAAGGGACCATTTCCCAGCTTCCGCCCTGACAGCGACACCGCTCCCGACAGGCGCGCCTTTGTGGCCACAGAAGGCAGATAAAACGGTGCTCATAAAGCGATAAGGGCGTCGCGGTGCAAAGCCGGTTACATTATTAACACCCAAGACCTGCTCGCCCCCCCTCCCTTTCCCTCCAGCCCCCCAGAACACACACTCTCCCTCCGAGAACACCTGTTTAATTAATCACTTCATTCCGGCTCGGCGTTCCGAGAGGAAAATGCCACAGACCCGCCTCAATCGCGCCCCATCCCGCTGCCGTTTGATGCCGCGATCATGAAGGAGCGGCGAAATGAGAAACATTTCTAAATTTGCAGTGGGTTTAGAAAAGTTGTCATCGCTAAAGGAGAACTTCACATGAAACGGATTCTACATCAAAACACTTACGGTGACATTTCTTCTCTCCCTCTCCGTGCCCCACTCAAAGGAGCACAAGTTTTCAGAAATACAAAGGGGTGCCGATATGCAAGCTTGTGTGCATGCAGAGATAGACAAGAGTTTTATTGCTCTGAGAAGCTGGCAAAAAATTGTGCTTCTGTTGTCACATAACTACTTTTTTTTCCCCTTCCTCCCCCAATCCCTCCCCCGCCTTTTTAATAAAACACTTTTTCCGTGTCCACAGCGGACGGAAGAGTGATCTAATTAAAAAACACAAAATAAAAGTTACGCCTCTTTATTCTCACTTTTTAAAGCAGTTAGGCTGCCTTTGTTCTGCAAAAATTCTTGCAGCAGAGGAGTGTTTCCCCCATGGTGAACTTTAAGGGCTCTACTGCAGAACAGTGCGCTCTATTAGCGAATGCAACCAGTCTGGGAGGCTGCAGCGTTTCTGACTATAAAATACCTTTTAATCAAAAGTGGCAGCTTTCAAACAGAACTCTCAAATTTAGGATCAATGTCCACGAAGTGACTCTTCCATCATCTCCACATTGACTTTCTGCCACAGAAAGACTCAAGTCCAAAGATGAGGATATTTATCCAAGACTTGAAATGTCCATTAATTAACAGACATAATGTATTTTCAAGCAGCAAAGTACTTTAACTTTCTTCAATGTATAATTGTTCTCAATCATTACTGGCAGCGCTGCTGGAAGGTTGACGCTTTGGCAAATCATTATTTACAAAGTTATCCAATTTGGTACGTCTAGAAAAGGTAATACCGATCCTTTGGAAAAACCATTTGAAGCCGTCAGTCTCGATCTATTAATAAAAACACAGCTAATTTATTTTGCTTCTGAGCCATTAGAAAACCTGCTGCAAGATTATTTTAACATATTGCTGCGAACCCACACACACACACGCGCGATGCAGTGCCCATATAATTACTGTATTCACCAAAAGTTCATGTTTTATTTTAGACAGATGTTTTTGTTTTTATTATAATTATCATAAAGTCTCGCCATTCAGCCACTACAGCCTGAAGCCTCCTATGGGGCCTCATACAGACTCGACAACTGCCTGTCAAACGTCTGGAGCTTTGCTGAGCAGCAGTCTCTCGTGTGTTTTTGGTGCTTAATTTGAATTCATAGTGAAAGAAAGGAGAGAGAGAGAAAAAAAAAGAGCTGTTGCTCCAATCTGACCTTAACGTTGCCATCTATAAATATAATTCACACCCCGTGAATTTTCACATTTCATGTTACAAAACAATTTTTTAATATATTGTAGGCACTATGGAGTCGAGCATAGCTGTGAAAAGGAAGGAAAATTATACATTTCACAAAATTTGCCAACATTTGAGAAGTACTGAGCTTGCATCCAGGTCCCCGGAGTCAATGTTGGAACCCCTGTCATTTAAAGTATAGCCACAAACTCGGCTCAAACTCAATCAGTCTGGATGCAGAGCAGAGAAAACTCTTAATAGATGTTTTCTAATAGATGTGCTGTGATCTGATGAACTAGTGAGTCTTCGGCTGTAGCCTGAGGGACATTTTCCTGCTGAAATGTGATCTGTTGCATCATCCGATAGGTTTTGCTCCACTCTTGCATTCCCACAGCATGATGCTGCCACCCCCATGTTACAATGTGGAGACTGTTTTCACACTGAACCGCATCGCTGCCCTTGATTAAGATGCCCTTTGTTCTTTTGACCGTCGGTGGAAAGTTCTGCCATGGTAGGTTTGCATTTCTGCCGTTGTTTCCATGTTGCGATGGGAAGAACGGAGCGCAGTGAGGTTTAAACCACAAGAAATTGTCAGCATTGCTTCAAACTTCTGCACAATCCCATCCCTGGCCTGACAACTCTGTTCGCTGGTCTTCATGAAACAGTTATTTTCCCTTTAAATGTTCATTAAACCAATTCGGTGACCTCAAAAGGCAACTGGTTGCACTGATTTTCATGTAGAGCTACCAGAAACAAAGAGGCAGACGACAAACCTCTTAGATTTTATTTTGAAGAAAAAAAAAAAATCAACATTTACAGAGCTTTCTGTCACGTTCTGTTCAGTTTCCGTCTAACATGCCAACCTTATGTACAAAAGTCTCCTGTTGAACAGAAAAACATTTTTCTTGCTTTTCATCTACTCAATATCTCCTAAAAATACATTTACAGTCAAATAGAGGGATTGAACCCGATTCAGAGCTGGTACCCATTACCCAGAACATAAGAGCAGTTTCAAAGGATACAATCCAACTTCCACTGCATTTCGTCTACTAAGTGCCATTCGCTCCAGCTAACCAAAGTCATGCATTAGTCCCTAAATGTGTTACTGATCTCCAGTATACTCTGCCAAGTCAAGCTTACACAGCAATGTTTATTTTCTGTGGGTGTATGGAGAGTGAAAATAACATTTAATTAGGGAATAAAATCTAATTAATAAATTAAATAATTATAAAAGTGTTCCAATGGTTGACAGGAAAGAGCACTGGCAACAAAGTAGTAAGACAGTAGGAGTAACTTTAAAATGAGATGAGAAATTAGTGCAATAATGAAAAGAGACTGTAGTTTACAGAGCTGCAGCCATTATTACAGCATGCCTTCTGGGTACTCTGAGGCCAAGGTATAAGGCTCAAGTTCAGCTAGTTAGTTTGCCAAGTTGCATTTAAGTCTGGACTGTGAGCAAAAATAAGCTTTGATTGAAACCACTCCTCTGTATGCTTTATGGTTGCTGTAACGTTGGAAAGTAAAACCCACCAGGACTGACCTGCATTTAGCTCCACACGTCCTCCCACTGACTCTCTGCCCTGCCTCTGCTGAACAAAAGCATTCCCACAGCATGATGCTACCGTCGCCAAAAGTCATGGCTTGGCAGGTGTACGGCTTTGCATTAGTCTTTCCATACTGACATGACAAATTTGGAAAATTGTTTCGTAACGTGTGTTTATTTTACATTTTCCCACAACTTTAGCCACCATTTCTCTACTGTGTTCACTGATTTTCAAGAAGAAGTTTAGTCACAAATGTTCCCTAAACAGCATCTAAAGGCTCAGGAGAGCAGAGAAACAGGTGATTAAATAACATAGCAGGTCAACCCCACGGATTAGGTGACTTCTGAAGGCAATTTGTTGCACTAGATTTCAATTTCAGGGTAGAAATGCACAGCACACTTTTCAGATTTTTGTTGGCAAAATATTTATGCATCATGTTCCTTCCCCCTCACAATTATGTCCAACTTTGTTTTCCTCTTTCCCACAAACTCCCAGTAAAACACAGTCAAATATTGTGTTGCGATTTGCTAAAATATGAAGACGTTCAAGCGGTGTGAATGCTCTTGCAAGGTGTTGTGATTCGAGTTTGAGCAGCATCATTACCTTCCAGGTTGGCTCTAGAGGTCCTCTGCCAGTTTTAACAGACTTGAAGTTGGCTGGATCTTCATCAGGCTTGTAGTCCTGTGGAAAGATTTTTACTTTTCAATAATTAATGGATGGCAAAAATCCTCCCCCCTCAAAAAAGACTATTATATACCTAACCTTATGTTGTGTATTTACAAGTTAATGACAGTTATGCACGATGATTAAAAAAAGCAATTAGTGTTTTCTGGTACAAGCAAAAACATTAAAATATAAAATAAAAATAGCCCAAAATTTAAAGCACATTCAGATACAGCATTAGCATCCATCAATATGAGTGACTTCTGGTGATTCCTAAGGAGTATCAAGTGTCTGACACGCTTTACCCTCAATTTGGTAAAATGATCTCGTAGTAAAACTTTCGCTAATGAACCAAAAGTGCCCTGCTCACATCTGAATCTGGCTCTCTGGAAAAGAATGGGGCGGATCAGAAAATACATAGAGATACACAGTGCACATCTAAACCATGAGCGTAACCAACATGACAAAACTGACGTCATTAAATACGAGAAAAAGTGTACATAAAATGGAATGGCTTTCAGATTAACAGCTCAAGGGCCCAGTAATTTTAAATAAATCATGTTACGCCTGCAGCAAAAGACTCTTTTTCAGGGTTACTGGCCAACAGAAGGATGCCAAGCAGAGAGAGAAATGGAAACGTGCCTGCCTGACAGTGCTGCACACACGCAGTCACAATAATCTGCTTGTTTTAATGCTCAGAGCTCCATCGCTATAACAATACACAGCAGTACTAATGAGGTCTGTGAATCGATGTGCCGCGGTACACGGAGAGGAGCTACTTCTTAAGTAAAAGAGTGTGCTTCGCCATGCGTGCGTGCGTGTGCGCGAGCGTGTGTGTGTGTGTCTGGAGTTCCGGTGCACACTGCACAGTGAGCTTTAATTACGCTAACAAACTCATCTGTGCTGGCGGTACGCCCCAGGCCCTGCAGTCATGCCCGAGGCTGAGGGCTGATAGGGCCCTGAGACACAACACACTCCTTCAGCAAGGCAAACACGTCCGCCTCGTTAACTACCCGCAGCAAACAAACATGTACACACACAGCAACCAATGTTCCTCGCTCAAGTAGCAACACATTTAATTGCACACGCAGATAGCAGCACAGAAATGAGGCAATGGGATGTCAGATATAAGCAATAATGTGCAAATACTTCAAAAAAAAATTCAAAAAGCCGAAAAAAAAAAAAAAAAAAAAGAAACCTAAATTTACTCTTTGTATTTCAAAACTATAAAACACCTCGGAGCAGCCCAAAAAGTTGCTGGTACTTATTTCCATTGCATCCCCCTCCTACAAAATGTGACAGGATCATCTTGAGAGTTTGTTAATAATCAAGCAGAAAACATAGTTTGCCATCAGAGATCAATCACTTTCGTCAAGCAGGAATGTTGAAACATTCCGGTTTACATCACTGAACAGTGGGGAGTTTCTAAAGTAATGATGGAACAAACCGGAGTTTTCTATTATTCATACATCACAGGGCAAGAGACTCATTTCTTGAAGAATAATCTTCCAAATTAACAAACAGCAGGATCTTTTGAAGAGTCATTAAGTTATTCAATCCTTAATGAATGAAAATACATGTTTATTTTGGAAATATTAAGATTTTTTTGGTCTCCAGTACTTTATGGCATTAAGTGTAATTCGAGTTTTACAGACACAAACTCGGCTTTATAAAATTTTACTAATTGGAAGAGAAAAAGAGAAGGCAAAGTCCTGATGTCAAAATAGTTCAGTCAAAGCCCACAATGCAGCAGTAAAACCTCTGATGGATGTTCTCTGGAAATCATACAGTGCTCAGATTTTTGCAGTCGTCATATTTCAATGTTTCAGATGAAAACAGAAAAAAGATAAAATAATTTAGTAAATTCCAAAAGTGGTTTTCATCCGACAAGGAAAAGAGACGTTCAAAACAACTCTTCCTATAAGTAACATCCCTCTGAACAAAATATCTGTGCCACGGTTGCGACCACAGCCAGCAGGAGTGGTCACTGTGATTTTCACAATGTTTCGACTAGGCCACATCAGAATCTTTTTTGTCTCATTCAAAAGTGGAGTTACTGGTGAACGTCAGACTGCTAACCTGCTGCATAACTCAAATGAGCTTGAGGTTAAAAGCTGAGGTGGCAGGAAACTCTAGAAAAAATTCCTGGTTTATTCGATTACACCAAGTCATGCAGGTTCTGAAGCACCACAGAAGCACCACCACCAGGACCATTTTTTTTTGGTTTTAAATTCTTAAATTCTTTTTCAAAAATGTTGGTAGTTTTACACACTTCCCAAATAGTTCCACTTTTGTCTGGGTAGTCAACTGAGTATAGTGCTTTGGAGATCCTCTAAATACTTTGATATTTTTACGAGAGAAAAGTGTGTCTCCAGATTTTCCTGCTGCATCATGAGCACTGGTGCTAACTGAGGCAAGAGAAGCCTGGAGTGCTGTGGATGATGTTCTGGGTTCTTTTGTGGCCTTCTGGATGAGTCGTCATTGCATCTTGTAGCGACACTGATAAGTCAGCTGTCATCCCTCACAGCTGCAAATACATGACGTCTGTTTTTGGCATGCTTCATGTTGCTAGACAGGTTCTGCTTGATTCTACAGTTCAGAAAGTAAAAACAGTCCATGGTATGACTGGTAAAATTCAAAATATGTGATAAAGTATAGTTACTTAATTACCTAGGAGTTTACTAATCTTCACATTTAAAGTTTGGTGCAAATGAAATCTTAAATTTGTGACAAAAAAAAAAAAAACAGAAAAAGCAAAAATCTGAAAGGGGCCAAAGGTTTTTCACATGAACATCTGACTTCAACTCTGTAAAATAGAGAGAAAAAAGTGGAAATTCCTTACCCGTTTTGGGGGGGGTGGATGAGTTTCATCTTAAATAACTCAGTTTCATATTTTTCTTAACTGTACACTTTGATTTTCAATTGTTTAAAAATAGAGGTATAATTTCCTACACATGAGCCGCTAGCCATCAAGGATGCACTTGGGTGCAAACTGTTTTTGAGGGTTTGCAGATGTCTTTTCCTGTTAAATAGAAAGTCTCCTCCTCAGTGCTGCAGCAACCTCTTGCATGTAAAGGTTTGATGCAATAAGTCAGTTTCCTGAGCAAGACAACTTTCCTTTTCATAAACAATAATCCTCTGGAAATGAACCTATTTAGTCGGACTATTTTGGACTGAAACATCACTGACAGCCAGACTGCTCTGAGCTGGAATAACATGCGATTGAGATCAACTCATGTGAATTAAATTGTGATGGAATAAAATTGCACTGAAGTTGTATGCAAATAAATTTGCCATTGATTTATTCTATAGCACACCAAGATTGCTTTTTGTGATCAGACAATAAGTGAACAAACAAGAAACTAAAACAGTTTTGAGGAGGCTTCTGCAATTCAAACCTAGGTTTTAAAAATATGATTAATTTAAATGTTAAAAAAAACATAGATCTGCTGCGTTTTTATTTAACACAACTTCTAAACTCAGCCCACCATGTTATTACAGTAACATTCATTATTTATGCTAAAAGGGCAATGACCACACTTGTCCACATGGAGGCACCCAATCACAATAAACCATGCTTCAGATTTGTACCCAATTTTTTTCTACTTACAGCAGCAGATACTTGACTTCTGTCTGCAATGTCAATGGGTACAACAGCAACATTCTTCCATATTGAGCTATCGACTTTATGCACCTGTGAGAAAAATGAAAGGGAAAAGAAACCTCAGTGTTATCTGTCATAATTAGCATTTTTTCTGTAAGACATTCTCAGATGATATATAAATTAATTAATAAAAAAAATTGGGAGAACCAACATTTTCTTGTGTTCCCATGTCCGGTTTGTGCCACGTCTCAATCTTAATGAAGAAACTGTCTTTCATATATTCATTCTGGAAAGAAGAAAAAAAGAAAAAGTGCAATAAGGGGAATATACAGCAAACTGAAGTACCTTAAATTTAGCTTGGAGTATTTCAACATGTTAATTTGAAAATACATACCGTCACAACTGCATCCAGGTTATTCATGAGAGAGGGGGATGGAAGAAAGAGAAAAAGTATTTATTTACATGTTAATATTGATATGACAGAAACTGCAATAAATTGGAGTGAGAAGGGCTTTTGGTCAACGCAAACTGAAGTGAAGTAAAGAGGGGGACTCACTGGTTCTGCAGTAGGGGTAGGCATTCCAAGCTTTTTCATGGAAAACCAAGGAGCCTTCAGGAGCTATGAGTCTGACAAAACCTGGGACTTTACTGTAGCATGGGGGGAGGACAGGAACAGACAGGGAAGAGGAGAGGAAAAGACCGATTCAGGGGGTCTACAGCACAGACAGCAGGAACAGCTTCACAAATGAAGCAACACTGCCACCACCTGGTAGCACCGCTCTATTACATCACAGAGATCATAGAGGCCAAGCACTCTGTTCAAAAACATAAAGGCACATACCTGTTTAGGTGGTAAATTTTGTGTGTATATTGTCCTTTCTCGCCATCTTTCTCATAGGGCTCATTCTTGAGAACTTCTATACCTTCACCACCACCGGTTTCATTTTTACTTGCTTCTGCCACAGAAAAGAGCTGACCGACCTGATACTGAAAAACAAACGTATTCATTTTACAAAAAGGACATTTCTGATCAACACAGTACCGTTTTCCCCAAGTTGTACGTTACTGTATAATGTCTGTCATTTACTGTGTATAAAGTTTATTATGTTAAATATGGAATAACACTAAAGTTTAACAAACCGCTGGAAGCTGTACTAAAATCTTTACTTTTTGTTGCCTTCTACAAAATTTCCTAAACTACCATGAATATCATTAAAAAAAAGAAAAAAAAAAGGCAAAGTTTCCTAGTGGGTAGCCTACACGTATCAAAAGGCGACTCACCTCCTCAATGCTACAGGGCAAGACCACTCGGCTGCAAATGAGAAGAACATAAATATGAAATGGGATGAGACTGTCAAAGTATTACAAAATTTTCTGTTCAGTATTCCATACTTCTGCTTTAGACATAATTCTAGGTCATTACATCAGTAGAGTAGAACAAGGTCAATATCAGGGAAAAGAAAAAAAAAGTTTTACTGGCCCGTACGGTGGCGTAACAAGCTTTTTCAAAGTGCGGGGCATGTGAGATGTCCCACACTGCAAGAGCACCAGGCAGTACTTTATGAAGTGTTTTTGGGAGCTGTACACACCGACGGCAGCAACATTCATGAATCAAGAGAACAGCTTTCCTGGTAAGTTTTGTCAACAAATGCATGACTGACTGTATTAGGATACAGATGACAACCAGTTACAGTAGAAAGGGCCACATCAAAAACCAGGAAAAGGAAACGAGAGCTAAACACAAGACCACTGACGTGTACTTGTTCATGTTGGAGTCTGAATGAGTGAGTTAACAAGCGTCTTCTGAAACAGTTAATACAATTAATAAGCTGAGAACGAGAGGGCTTCTTAAAGATTAACTAAAATTCAAATTAAGAAATACTTTATTGATCTCAAAGGGAAATTAAATGTTGTTGTGACTCGTTAATTCAGATTCTTCCAAGAGTCTGAAAGAAAAAAGGTTTGAAAGCCAAAATTCTTGCTAGTTGGCAGATGATGAAGTACTTATATCATTCAATAAAATGCTAATTATGATTAAAAAAACAAAACAAAAAAAAAATTACAGCAAAAAAATTTTTTTTTTTGTCTCAGTCGAGGTATGCCTCAACAAATTACAGACCTGTTCATTCTTTGGAAGTTGTGATACTTGGAAAAGAAAAAGGAAAATCGTAGGTGCATCGAATACTTAAATTCCCCAAAATGTTTTAAAATATCTTGCTAAAAGCTGTGTTTCTCCTGAAACAACATTTTGTCAGGTTTATGAAAGTTCTGTAAACAGTAAATGTAAAAATTTTGACAATTGATTTATTGAATTATTGTTCCATCACTCCATGACTGAACACTTTTTGGGTTAAAGGTATGGATTAGATTGAAAAGAGTGGAGTTTAAGAAAAAGATGAAAAAAGAAGAATTTTGGGGGGGGTCAAATAAACAGAAAAATAACAAAAGTGATCTTATGGGGCAATGAGGAAACTCATCAGGGTCACACTTTCTGAAGGGGGAGGGGAAAAAAAGTCCAAGAAAAAATAACTAAAAAGGTGAGCCAGTCCTTGTCAGGTCTGCACTCTGCCGACTACAGCAAGAACAGACACTCATCACTGGCATTAAGTGGAAGAGTCAAGTACTTAAAAAAAAACAAAAAAAAAACACACACACAGGTAAGCTTAATTTGAAGATCTTCAAGACAAAGAGCAAATATGGTCATTCATTTTTTAGAGCAGAGATAAATTTAAAATACCTGAATATTCAAATTATTACAGAAACAGAAATTATTTCTCAACTTAAACCAAATCATACATTGCAATGTTTTGTTCAAATTTAAATAGAGCTTGTGGTATACAATACATCATGACATCACTGAAACTGGGGAGAAGTTCCTCCTCCCCAACTACTGACCAAGTGGAGAGGAAAAAAATGTTAAAACAGCACAAGGAAGGGGAAGTTCTCTCTCAGCGTAAACCTAAAGCGGAGCTTTATTGTTTTCCAACGCTCATTCAGTCCGTTTAAAGCCGTTCAGCATCGACAAACGATGAGAAATTTGTGCTTCGTCCTCCACTGACAGTGCGAAGCTGAACTGAGATGACACCCAAAGACAAGCAGCTAAAAGACAGGAGAGGACTGTGTGGCCTGGCCTTGCAAAGAAAAACGATGAGTTTTGACATCATCAAGGTTGCAAACAGCTTCAGGGTGAATTTTGCAGTTAAAATATGCCTTGAACCGTACTAAAGAAAGTTCGTTTGGGGGAAGGAGTTGTGGAAGGATGGTGCATTATGAAAGGATCTTGCAGTAGAAAACCACAGATCCAAATGCTTTCACAAAGCAAATGAAATAATTGATCTGGAGGATTTAGTGCAGGTCTTTTTTCTTTCTTCATACATTGAAAGGCTGATGGAATTCAACCAACATGGTGCAGAGAACCATGTTGAATACAACACTGTTATTAATCAGTCTGACATGATTTTACAAAACTAAGCCAAGTATTTGAAGAGTTTCTAGAGAACAATAAGACGATCCAGCACAACATTTTCAATCTTTAAACAAAAACCTAAAGGGTTTCATCCATGTCTCTCTACAGCTATCCACTTTTAGGGTGCTTACTTGAAAAACGTGTAATTTTGTTTTGTTTATAAGACAAAAAAAAACAGAAAGAAAGAAAGAAACCACAAAAACAATTCTTGACTTGGATAAGCATTAAAATGGCATCATATCATGAGCAACTCTGGGTCTGAGAAGTGTCTATTAAGTCACCAATCTCTTCTTGAGTGGTTGCCCAACATGGGTTTTTCAATGACTGTTGCAGAATAGTTGAGAGTGCTGACAGAAGGACTTCTCACGACTTTACTCAATGCTGATATGTAGATGCACACAGCCATGTTTGGTCATTCACGGTAAAAAAAAAAAAAAAAAAAAAGTACAGTCAGTTTTTAAGATCTACTTTTTTTCATTTCATTAGTTTCCATTTTCTTTAAGAAATAATATGGGAGAAAGGAGGAACTGTTTACAGAGATTTTTATGAATGCTCAAGTTCAAATTTGATGACTTTTGTATAATCAGAGGTACACTGAAAAAGGCAGCAAATGAGAATAATATCTAGTTCTGGTTGCAATAATATAAAAAAAAATATTTTAGTAAAATAAACACTGAATATAATTGGTTTCGTTTGGATTTAATAATGTCCTCAACATTCAGTTGGTCAGATGGGTACTTAGCCTCCTGTTGAAAGGGAGTTTTTCCTTTCCAATAATTGCCACATGCTTGCTCAGGATGAGGGATTGTAGGTGGTGGGAAAAAAAAATCAATGCCTCAATGTAATTAGATGAGTTTTCTCAGATTATTTTTCAAATCAACAGACATTATATGATTAACTAACTTCGACAATAGTGTCTTATCGCTAGGACTAAATATAAACGCATGTAATTGGAAACGAGAGCGACGCATTTCAGTGGAATAAGCAGGATTAATTTGATGGAATTTTGACAAATTTCTTATCAATTTGTCCTCCAAAGTGCCTTACAGAGAGATTTGGCTGAGTACAAGTACTCAAAAGATATTGTTCGGGCACAAGGTTGATTCCAGAGTTCATAATTGATGAATTGCTTTGTTTTTATATACAAACAGCCATATCCGTCTTCAACCCTCAGTCAGGACCGACAGCTTTACGCTTACAAGTTGGTGAAGGTCACATTTATATATTCAACATTTCAAAGTGACAACTAATGTAATATTTTCAACCATTATGATTTCTTAAGACTTTATCTATGAAGCACCTTAAGTTCAACAGCTCACCAGCTGCTTTAGGCAACCATTACTTAATGCAACTTAAGATTTTGTAGTTCACATCCAAAAAAATATCAGAATATTTTGAAAATTCTTAGCTTTGAGGATGCCCACTATTGTGTAGAAGTCACACTACATTGTTCATGTGCTTCAAAATGCAAATCTATGACCACAGTCTTCTCTAAATTACAGTCTATAGATACTTTTCTGACGTTCATCTTTATTATTTTTTATATCAAACTTCTCTTCTTGGGCTTTTTTTTAAGACTCTGAGACGGAACATTGTCAAAAGCAAAAGAGACGAATAACGTGGTTTGTTTACAAGTTAATACCACGTATGCTGTTGTGATTTGCAATGCAATGCCAATATCAAAATAATGTACTCAACACGAACTTTAAATCACTCAGTTAAGCGGTGACATCGTTTAGATACTTACCAAGGGTAAGTATTAGTTAAAAACTTTGATTTGACTTTTGTTCAATTTCTATCAACTCTTTTGTCTTGCTTTGGGTTCATATGAGCTGCTTGAGTCAATGCTGCCCGTGTTAAAATGAACAGAACAGGGCAACTTCCCCATCCAGGTGACGCTTTCGGTTAGCTAACAGCGTTAGCAAACCGTACTAGTTTCAGTGCCTTGAAGCCGGATAGCACGGATATACATGCTAATAATGCCGACGAAACACAGTGTGCGTCTTTAGGACACGGCAGATTCACTAGAAGTTAAAAGAAGCAACAGCTGTCAAACAATAGCGCGCCGCTGTCAAAGCCGGTAGGCCAGAACAGCTCTTGAACAATCCCACTCTCCCCCTCGTGTGCCTTACCGATATATGCTGAAAAGTTTTCAGCTAGGGGAGAGGCGCATTTAAAACTCGCCTGAATACCTAACCCTTTCTATATCACTAAATATTGGCTTAATAAGGCGCAAAAGTCATAGTTGAGATAGAAAGAAGAAAAAAACTCACTATTCCTTGATGACAACCATAGCAACTCGCTTCTATCGGTTTTGCTGATACTGCCCAGCGACTGCCGAGTGCTGCTGACGTCATTGGCTCTTAGCGCCGTGCCCTGTCCCGCCCACAGCAGTTATGATTGGTAGAAAGAGGATGGACACACCTACTAATTAAAATTAACCAATCAAACTCTCTTACATCTCATCGCCGACAAAGTAATCTCCTATTACAGAGGATAACTTATACTTTGAACTATTCTTTATCTGGCACATTTTGTTCAAGTTGTAGAAAGCAACTAATCTGTCCATAAACCCATATACGTGTCGATCCATCTAACAGAAAAGATTACATATAATTTATCTCAATGCCAAAGCAGAAATATTATTACACCATTGTTGGTTAATAAGGAAACAAGTTTTATGCCGAAATGTCTAGCAAAGTTTAATCTCAGTTATTACAGAAATCATGTCTTTTAGACCCAATAATTACATCCTTTTCTAAAAAATGTATTTGACTCAACCAATTAGTTCAGAGGAGTCTTTCATTAATAACCAAAATATCATTCATTTCAGTCTGTATTCCAACTTTGCATTTTCTCCCCCTTGCAGTGTCCTATTTTTCAATCTTCTTTATTGTTGTTTTATGCTTTTATCAGATAAAGTACTTTGACTTACCTCTGTTCTGAAATGTGCCACACAAATAATCTTGCCTTTCCAAAATGATGTTCTTAACATTGTACACTATCCTCATGAGATGACTGTATGCTGTTTTAAGGCTGTTTTTTGTAAAAAAAAAAAAAAAAAAAAAAAAACTCACCTGAGAAGAAGTAATCTTGATGCTTATATGATTATTGTTAGGCCAATTTCTGACCTGCCAAACTTTATATTTTTTTTGTCACCAACCAATTATTTCAAGTACTATTGACACTTTTTTAGCATTAAACTCAGAGTCATTCCAATAGCTTGATGCCAGCCTGAAACAACTATTACATAATGCAACTTCAAACTATTATTTTATTTAATGACAAAAAGCAATCAAATCAAATGTAGCAAATTAATTGCCCCATGAAAACCATGAAATAACTTTATGAAGTAGTTCAAAACTCAGTTCACGTATTACTAACCACTCTTTCAGAATTCAGAAATCCCTTAAACACAATCTGCTTGACAACAGGGTGTAGGCTGAAGTGTCTCAAAAAGGAACAAAAATAATGCCTTCATCTAAAAATTTTCAAGAAAAGCTAAGAAACAAAGTGACACCTAGGAAGGAATGGGTCCCCAAAACATTTGGGGGTAAGAGAGAGAGAGAAGTTGAGGGAATGGCATTTGAGACAGAGAGATCCTACCCAATTATGGTTGTAGTGGGACAGTCTGGGGCTGCTTTGCTGCGGCAGAACCTGGAAGACATCCCATAAATTGTGGAACCCTTCTCTATTAAAAAATCCTAACAGAAAATATTTGACTATCGGATCAAAACTTCGAGCTAAAGCACACTTTGTTTATACAACAGGAAAAATGACCCAATGCACCTCCACAGGTCTTCCTGTGAATGTCTAAAAACAGTAAAGGTTTTGTAGTGGCCCAGTCAAAGCTCAGACTTTAGACCAGCTGTAATGGTGTGGAAATAAATGGGCCCTTCATGGTGAGAAACTCTCCAATATGGCTTCATTTTGCAAAACGTGGTCCACAAATCATCAGTGATTTGTGGCCCACATAGTGACGTAAAAAAAACAAAAACCTTATTGCCAGTTATTTCAAATGCTTGATAGTTATCACAACTAGTTACAACTAGTTAGTCATGATGGTCTAATAAGTTATTTTTAAAAGGCATTTATGTTTTCACAACCAAGCTGGTTATAATAACTTTTTGATTTCAACAAATGAAATAATTATTCAAAGAATTCCAAACTGCATTTTGTATTTGCTCAGGTTATTTTGTACATTAAAGTGATCAAAAGCTAACAGAAACGTAAGTATAGGGAAATGTATTTTTTTTTCAGAGCTCTTTATCCATTTGTCTCTCTAGTTGATAAACCTTTGCCAAGTTAGGAAGACAAGAACGTAAACATGATGTTTTTTATTGAAACAGTTTACTGGTAAATGACAGATTGTTGCTGTGAAACTGCCATGTTCAATCTCAAAAAAATCATGGGGGTAAAAAGTCATACATGGTACTTAACACTGAATAGCAAGAGAATCCATGCTTCAGAGCAGACACTCAGATCACAAAGAAATCAGGCAAAATGCCCTCTTGATTTCAATAAAAAATATTAAATTGATTTTTTTTCACTCTATCCATCTTTACAAGGTACAGATTTGTTCACTTTTAATTATAAAAACAGTTAATACTGATTGTAAAACACAAATAAATTTACAAAACATAATAATAACAATAATAATAATAACAATAATAATGTTTTTAATATTAACAACAATAGCAAACAATAATAACAATAATAATTAAATTTAAAAACAAAAAGTAGAATGGAGGGAAATAAGGTTTGTTGCATCTTTTGACCACACAAACAGCAACTTTTTTGGGGAAAAAAAAATATCAAATTGCATTTAGAGCTACCTGACACAGTTACACACAAACACAGTATCAGGTCGTTGAGTATTTCTCATTGCCATTTACAGTGTTATGGCCACAAAGACAAGACAGTCTCCAAGCCATTTATTCATCTGTTTCTGCAGGAACACACAAGTCAAAGAAATCCCTCAGACTGAGTTAGGCTTGATGGGCCAGTGGTCCTGAAGAGGTGCCCTGATCCTCTGCCACCCAGGATAGTAAATTACAGAACCACTTTCAACGTTTCAGCATTTAGAAGAAGGGAAAAATCTTCCTGGCGAGAGGAATTTGTATCCGTTGCCAGCAGGCAGTCGGATAGAACGAGCACCAGGGCTGCTGCTTGTGGAAATTGTAGGCGACGGGGCAACTTTTCTGGGGTTGGAACAATGGTGTCCATTGGAAGAATTCTTGGTACCGCTATCCAGTGACTGCAGTCCCAGCTCCCGCAGCTCCAGGCTGTCTTGGGTGTCATGAGGGGAGCAGTGGCGTGGGGAGAGGTTTAGAAGGCTCAGTACGTCTCTACTGGCCGAAGCAATAGGTCCGGATCTGCTGTGGATGGCTTTGACGGGACCTAGATGTTGCTGCTGTTGAGCTGCGGCATTAGTCCAGAACGTCTTCAGGTTGTGGATAGCTTGGACTTTTTCATCAATGACCCCTCTTCTTAGTCGGTCCAGATCTGGGGCATCTGCTGATGTAGAACAGGCAGAGCCTGTAGAAGAGTAGGACAGAGCAGGAGAAGGAGCGCTACCGGCTGGCGACTGGTGTCCAGAGCTGGGAGACACGTTGCTGGGAGAGCGGGAAATGTGGCCACTGTATGGAGAGCTTGGGTACTTCAGCTTGAACTGTGCATGGCTGTCCAGCGTGGGCGAAGGATGGCTACCATCTTTTTGGGAAGACTCTGAGACTGCAGGACTGTTGTATCCAGAGCTTACCTTCTGCAGGGAAGAAGACCGGGAGGGAGGCTTGGGCTTGGGGGAAGACTGTGCTCGACCACTGGCGCTGCTGTTGGGACGACTGAATGCACTGGTTTCGGAGGAGCGGAACGTACCGCTGCGAGCTGAGGCCGCAGCGGGTCCCGTCCCGCCCTCCGCTCCAGCCCGCTGAAGACTGCTCACAGCTCGCAAGTGGCTGTGAGTTTCCTCCAGAATCTTCTGGGCCAGCTCTTGGGGGTCCAGATGAACGGGTTTTTCTTCCTGCGACTTGACAGTGCTGTCCGTCTCAGTACTGGACTGGTCAGACTCGCCTGTGTCCGAGCTGCTCACCTTGCCCACCTTCTGGAAGGGCGAGTTTGGACTGGGCACGAGGGATGCTTTGACAGGAGACGTCGGGGTGCTGACGCTGCCCCGTGACGATACGGAGACCTTGTAGCCTCTCCCTGCTCCCGCGGACCCACCAACCCCCCTGCCTCCTCGGTGGTGTCGCTGACTGTGACCTGGTGGTAGAGGCAGAGAGTCACAGTGGCTGCCCAGTGGCTCGCTGCTGATAATGGAAAAGCCCTCATACTCCTCTTCGTCACCTCGTGTTCCCGCACCTGCAGCAGCAGCTCCTTGCGGGGACGAGCGACTGCGTGGCACATGTGGGTGTTTGTGAACAGTGTAGTGTGCAGTGGCGCCCCCTCGTTGTCGATGACTAAGGAAGTCGCAGTCTGACTTGGAGGCAAAGCTCATAGAGGAGGTTACAGAGCTGAGGCTGTAGACAGAGATGGCATCTGATGCTTGATTGTCCAGGCATGGGGGAGAGAAAGGAAGGCTGGAGTATCCCACTGGCAATGGGTTAGAGACAGACTGAGCCGAAGCCAGAGACTCAAGGGAGGATGAGCTGTCCAGGCTCAGTCGCTTGGGCAGTTCTGTGGAGTCTGGAAACAAAGCAAAGAAACATATGCATGTGAAAAAAACGAAACAAATGAAATCTGTAGTGGTCCAAAAACAAATTGAGACCCTGAAAGTACAAAACAGATAAAAAGAATAAACCAATTTACCAAACAGTGCCAGCAGAGACTGAAGGGCAAAGTGCAAGGTGCGCCGGTTAGCCAGTTTGCCTGTCTTTAGCACCACTTCTTCCTGTCCTACCTCACATAAATCAAATCCTGCACAAAGAAAACAACAAAATGTAATTTAAAAACGATTAAATGTGACCTCGACTCCATGCATGCATGAATAGATAATATATCTAATTTGCATTTAGATATATTATACACACAGTGATATAAATCAAGTGTTTATTATTTCTGTTAATTTTGATGATTATGAAATTTTGTATAAATGAAATCATTCTACAATGTTCATGCAAAGTTACTCAAAATTTACAGGAGACACAAAGAAGCAGTCTTATTTTGTTAAGATTTAACTTACCAAGAGCAGCCAGAAATTCATGGCATCCAGGCAGTCTCCACAGTTGCACACTGATGGACACCTGAATGGGCAGGAGGGAGAAGTCCTGCTCCTTCTCTCCTGTCTGCAGTTGGACTAGCACCTGGTGAAGCTGGCAGACAAAGAAGAAAGGACTATGAAATTAAAACTCTTATTTTGTT